TCCTTCTTTTCCTTGGGGGACCAGCTGCTCCAACCAGGCAGGCCTCTTCTCACTGCTCCTTGAGCAAGCCTGTCTCAATGTCCCTTCAAAGACCATCTAGAATCTCACAGGACTCCTTTCCCTACTTTCACCCATGCTGAGTCCTGCCCTTATGACAGAGTCCCTCAGTTAGTCACTTTCCTGTCGGTCATATGTCACTAGGCTGCAAGCATGTCTTAATCATCTTTGTGTCCACCATGCTCAGTGCACACTCACTGTACACCTGTCATCCTTCAGCAATTATTCAGCTCCTACTGGCTGCTGAGCACTGTGCTAGGTGCAAGGATCCAGCAGAGAGTGAAACCAAATCCCTGCTCTCGTGAAGTGTATGTTCTGATCAGGAGATGAAAATGAACAAGTAGAATGTCAGGGGGATAAGAAGTGCTGTGGAGGAAAGTGAAGTTGAGGAAGCTATGGGTAGAGAGTGGTGGGATAGGGAAAGAAAAGCTACTTTTGAGGAAAGGTCTTTTTGAGAAGGTAACATTTGAGCAGAGATTAGAATACCGTGAGTTTATCTGAGGGACTGAATAGTTAAATGAATACATGAATAACTTGGAGATGAAAAAGGAGTGCAGAGGAAAGAGTTTGAGGTAGGAATGCCTGACCCCCTGTCACCTTTCTTTTTCTTCCATTTAAAAACATAACCAATTGGCCGGGTGCAGTGGTTCATGCCTGTCATCCCAGCACTTTGGGAGGCTGAGGTGAGTGGATCACCTGAGGTCAGGAGTTCAAGACCAGCCTTGCCAACATAGTGAAACCCTGTCTCAACTAAAAACACACAAAAAAATTAGCTGGGCTTGGTGGCGGGCTCCTGTAAAACCAGCTACTTTGGGAGGCTGAGGCAGGAGAATTGCTTGAACCCAGGAGGCAGAGGTTGCAGTGAGCTGAGATCACACAATTGCACTCCAGCCTGGGCAATAAGAGTGAAACTCTGTCTCAAAAAAAAAACCACACCAATTTATTTATTTCATTTATTTTAAGATGGAGTTTCACTCTGTCGCCCAGGATGGAGTGCAGTGGTGTAATCTCAGCTCATTGCAATCTCTGTCTCTGGAGTTCAAGCGATTCTTATGCCTCAGCCTCCCGAGTAGCTGGGATTACAGGCTGCCCACCACCATGCCCGGCTAATTTTTGTATTTTTGTATTTTTTTTTTTTGAGATGAAGTCTCACTCGTGCCTTTGCCCAGGCAGGAGTGCAATGGCACAATCTCAGCTCACTGCAACCTCTGCCTCCCAAGTTCAAGCAGTCCTCCTGCCTCAGCCTCCCAAGTAATTGGGATTACAGGCACGTGCTATCACGCCCAGATAATTTTTGTATTTTTTCGTAAAAATAGAGTTTCACCATGTTGGACATGCTGGTCTTCAAATTCCTGACCTCAAGTTATCTTGCTGTTTCAGCCTCCCAGAGTGCTGGGATTGCAGGCATGAGCCACTGCACCCAGCCTAAAAACATAACCAATTTATTTTGATGCCTTGTTATTTCAGATAGGACAGAAGTAGAGACTGACCATCTAAACTGTACATAGTTTAGATGTAGGATGGCTTCTCTTTCTCTGTTTATCCAGAATTGACTGGATATTACAGAATGTTATGGTATAATTGTTAATTCTCTTAAAATTACTGTGGTTTTGGAGGATAATGTAATTTTCCTTAGGATTTGATACTAAAGTATCAAGGCAGGAAGTTCCAGTAAGGCAGCAACTTACTTTTTTCGTAGTTTTTTGAGGCTGGAGTGCAGTGGCGCTATCTCAGCTCACTACAACCTCGACCTCCTGGGTTTAAAAGATCCTCCCACCTCAGCCTCCCAAGTAGCTGGGACTATAGGCATGCGCCATCATGCCCAGCTAATTATTTTGTATTTTTTGTGGAAATGGGGATTTGCCATGTTGGCCAGACTGGTCTCAAACACCTGAGCTCAAGTGATTCACGTGCCTTGGCCTCCCAGATTGCTGGGATTACAGGTGTAATTGCCTGGCCTACCTTTAAATATTTAGTAAAAAATAAAAAATTTTCAACATATGAATATAAATACATAAATGTGGAAAAATGATAACACTCATTGAATCCAGGTGGGGAGTGTGTACAGGTGTTTCTTGTACTATTCTTTCAACTTTTCTTTTTTTTGAAAAGGAGTCTTGCCCTGTCGCCCAGGCTGATGTGCAATGGCACGATCTTGGCTCACTGCAATCTCTGCCTCCCAGGTTCAAATGATTCTCCTGCCTCAGCCTCCCAAGTAGCTGGGATTACCAGTCCCCACCACCACACCCAGCTAATTTTTGTATTTTCAGTAGAAATGGGGTTTCACCATGTTGACCAGGCTGGTCTCGAACTCCTGACCCCATGATCCACCCACCTTGGCTTCCCAAAGTGCTGGGATTACAGGCATGAGCCACTGTGTCTGGCCCTATTCTTTCAACTTTTTTTTTTTTTTTTTTTTTGAGACGGAGTTTCGCTATTGTTACCCAGACTGGAGTGCAATGGGACGATCTCGGCTCACCGCAACCTCCGCCTTCTGGGTTCAAGCAATTCTCCCGCCTCAGCCTCCTGAGTAGCTGGGACTACAGGTGCGCACCACCATGCCCAGCTAATTTTTTTATTTTTAGTAGAGACGGGGTTTCACCTCGTTGACCAGGATGGTCTCCATCTCTTGACCTCGTGATCCACCCACCTCGGCCTCCCAAAGTGCTGGGATTATAGGCGTGAGCCACCGCACCTGGCCAACTTTTCTTTTTTTTTCAACTTTTCTATATATTTGAAAATGTTTACTAGATGTGAAGGTTGGAAGGGGCTATTGTGTGGGCCAAGAAAAAATATTTGCAAGTTAGATGATTCCTGCTAGTCTGGGATTTGGTCTAGGGCCTTACAGGCACTATTTCATCTGATCCACATCACATCCCTGTGGGGTGGGCAGCACTGGGTCCAGTTCACAGGTGATGAATAGAGATGCTTAGAGAGGTAAGTGACTTGCCCAAAGTCACGCACGACTAGGAGAGGCCAAGCTGAGATTTGAGTCAGAATTCTCTGCTTTCCTTTTTTGTTGTTGAAGCCTCTTCTCTTCCACCATACCATTTCCCAGGGGCATTGAATTAGGTGGCAGCTAAGTGCACTTACTATGAGTTAGGCTTTGCATGTGTTACTTAAATCCTCGCAGCAACCTGATGAGGTTGCTACTAATAACATCCTCCATTTTACGGAGGCACAGAGAGTTTAACTTGCGTGAGGTCATAGAGTTAACAATAGAAGAGCTGGGGGTTGGAGAACCTGGGCAGTGTGGCTCTAGACCCCCACTTAAAGGATCAAATAAACACTGTAAAGTGTAGAAATCACTTTAGAAATATAAATCAGGATTATAGTTGATTCTCACAGAATCCCTGCAAAGTCCTCTCCCCTCCTCACTGCTTCTGGCATTCCGAGACAGTACCCTAGTTTCAGATGTATCTACACAGGGGACACTTGCCTCCCGGTCCAGCTCCTTGAAGCTACTGCCCCTGGCCATAAATCTCTAGCACTGCTCATTGCCTTCTGATGTCCTCTGGGCTGATGCTGTTTGGAAAACATTGTTTTGTATATGGTCACACACCCAGGTGATAGGGATAGGATACTGATTTGCCTGCAGGAAAATAATTAGAGGCCACACAGATCACAAGGTCAGGAGTTTGAGACCAGCCTGACCAATATGGTGAAACCCCGTATCTACTAAAAATACAAAAAAATTAGCTGGGCATGGTGGCGCATGCCTGTAATCCCAGCTACTTGGGAGGCTGAGGCAGGAGAATTGCTTGGACCCAGGAGGCAGAGGTTGCAGTGAGCTGAGATCGAGCCACTGTACTCCAGCCTGGGTGACAGAGCGAGACTCTGTCTCAAAACAACAACAACAACAACAACAACAAACCACTTAGAGACCACAAGGACGGCTGAGACAGTTACAACCTGGAGGTCAAGAGCCTGACATGGGAGGCAGGCCAGTTTTGATTTGAGCAGTCACTGTAAGGCTTGGGTGAATTGCCATTCCATCTAGAAACCTGTTTCCTCACTTGTACGATTGTAATAATAGAAGCATACATCTCAACACTGGTGGGGGGATTTCATGGCATTAGTAAAGTCCATGTTTCTCAGCAAAAGTCTAGAGATATTGACAGTTGTTATCATTATGCTATTTCTGATGCAGTAGGATGTGGACACTGACTAGAGCTCCAAGCTCATCCCTATTCCTCCCTCTATTTCACTGGATTTTATACATGTTGGCCTTGGATTCAACCCCAGGGGCAGATCAGCCCTTTTCCTACCTCAGGACCTTTGCACCTGCTGTTACTCCTGGTATGACTGTTCTTTCCCCAGCTTATTCTGAAGAGCTGGCTCTTTCTCATCCTTTTATGTCTCAGCTCATGTCACTTGCTCAGTGATGCCTTCCTTGACCACTCCAGCAGCCTGCAATACATCCTCCTGTTTTATCATACTCATATGTGTTATCAGTACCTGATATAACTAGTTGATTTGTTTCTTTCACCTCTCACATAAGTTTCAAGAAGAAAGAGATTTTATCGTTTTTTTTTCTTTGTAGCATGCTCAGTGCAACAACTGTCTGGCATTCAATCAATAAATGGTGAACTGAATGAATGAGTGAGTGAATGAATGAATGAAGGTGTATACCAGGCCGAACCCCCAAAGCCTTGCAATCCCCACTCTTCTGCCGCAGTGGGCAACGAGATCGGTCAGACTTTGTAGATGGCCCCTTGGCCCTGAGATAGGGGCAAGAGAGCGAGGAGCACTTGGGAGACGTTCCCCGACAGCTTGGGCGGTGGCCGCACTAGGGGAGGGGCTGTCGCCATTTGGCGATATTCCATGCGGGCTGCCGCGGGGGCCGGGCAGGGGTCGGCGGCGAGCGCAGGCGCGCGGGTCTTTTGCGACGGTGCCCGGCGGTGCTGGCTCCGCCTCCTGCGCGTGCGCCCCGCCCCGCCCCGCCGCTGCGCCCGCTCGGGGCCGCTCTGGCCCCCGCCCGCTTCATGTTGCCCGGCCCGCGGCGGCCGGCGGCTGGGAGCTGCGAGACAGCGGCGGCGAGTGGCGGCCCGCGAGGCCCGGGAGGTGGTGGCCGAGGCCCAGGCGGCGGCGGCGGCGGCCCAGGAGGCGGCGGACGGGGAGCGGCGGCAGCAGGCCCGGCCCGGCTCTCGAGCGGCCGCCTGGCTGCAGCATGCGCGCCCGCCGGGGGCTGCTGCGGCTGCCGCGCCGTTCGTTGCTCGCCGCGCTCTTCTTCTTTTCGCTCTCGTCCTCGCTGCTCTACTTCGTCTATGTGGCGCCCGGCATAGGTAGGAAGGGGGCTTGGGACCCCGGCAGCTGCGGCTCTGGCCTTCTAGGGACCGGGGGAATCCCCGCCCCTCCCTGAGGGGCCCCAGCCCGGAGGCGGCCCCGAGAGTGGTCCTCCGAAGACTCCCGGGTCCCGGCCCAGCTCTCTGGGTGTCCCGCGCCCAGCTCTCGGGGACGCCAGGACATTCCCGCCATCCGCCCCCTAAGGAGCTCCCGGGACCCTTTTCCCGCGCCAGCCTCCGGCCCACCCCGCCCCTCCTAACGCCGCCCTCGCGAACCGGACGACGCCTTCGCACCCGCCCTTTGCTCTGGGACCCCCTTCCCGCTGGAACTCGCACTTCCCGCTCCTCGGCTCGAGAACTCCCTCTTGCCCTTCCAGTCCCCGGGGTCTCCTGGAACCCCATTCCCGGCATTCCCCGCACCCCAAACCCCCGCCCCTCCTTGCCGAGCCCTTGTGCCCGGGTCTCAGGCCGCCCCACCTTCTCGGATCCCATCCATCTTCCCCGACTCCCCGTGACTCCATCGTTTCCTGCTCCCGTGAGCCCCCTGCCTCCCCTTTCTTCCTCCACTTCCCTGGTTACATCAACCTCCAGGTCCTCCTCCCTAACTCAGGTTCATCTCTTCAGTTGCCTGATATCTCTGCTTTCCGGTGGCACCCCCCTTCCCATTACAGAGGTCCACCCTCATTCAATTTTCTGCTAACCCCCTGATCGTCCCCTGCCTCCTCCCCATCTCCACCCGAACCTCGCGTACCCCAAAGGGCACATCCTTGTCACCTCTGCCCCCAGGCCCCCAGTCTTTCAGCCATAGCTTCTTTCTCAACTGAAGACCTGGAAAAGGGGTGCTGTCGGCGTTCCTTCTTTCTTCCACTTCTGCCCTCTCCCAGCCTTGAGGGTAGATGGTGGCTCTTCAGTATCGGATAATGCCTGCTCTGGGGACAAAGTTTAAATTGGCCCTAGAGAACGGGATATGACTGGGGCCTTTGGGAATTGGTACCAGGTGAGAAGGGGGAGAATGGAGGAAAGATGAAATAGGTACTCTTTCTTTTCAAAGAGTCTCTGGAGAAACTGACCTTCCCACCCCTCCCCTACCCCGCCTCAAGCATAGTCTTTTGTAAGACCACAGGGCAGCTTTTAGGACAGGAAGAGATCAGAAGGAAAGACAGCATGAAGGTTTAAGAGCAGAGGACACCAGAGGCCAGTCAGACTTGGATTCTAATCTCTGCCCTGGATGACCTTGGGCAGGTTACTAAGCCTTAGTTTTTCTCCTCTGTAAAATGGGAGTATGAATCCCAATGTCATACCGTGTTAAGGATAGAAGTAGATAAATGCCCTTTAAAAGCACTTAGCACTGTACCTGATGCTTGAAGAGTTTCAAAAATAAGTAAAGCAGCTATTACATGTAACTTCTAGGAAGAAGGGAGTTAGGTGGAAGGCTTAAGGGATGCGTTTGCCTGACTTGGCATTACTGTGAGTAAACCTCAGTTTATGGTGAGAAATGATCAGAAGATGCTGCTGGGACTGGGGCAGGGAGAGTAAATTCTGCTAGAAAAATTTTGGATTATATGGATGTTAGGAAAGGGTTGATGGTTTAGCTGTGGGGAAATGCCTTTTAGGATTGTAGCAATAACTAGTGCCATTCTCTTTTGACCTGTCAACACTGAACTAGCTGAATAGAGAAATTTCCAGATAGAGCAGGAGATTGTCTCCTGATTATTTTTTTAAGCATATTTTACTTGTAGTTAATGTTCATGTTTTGAACTATCAGCTAGATCTGGGAAGATAGAATCAGATTGCCCTGTTTACAAAGTGTCATAGGGAAAAGTGTCCCTCTAGGAAGGTATAGTATGTGGCCTGATGGATTTGATGAGTAGATTGTAAAAGAGTTGGGATTCTGGCAGAAAAGGAACAGATAACTAATTAGTGGAATTAATTGAGAAAAGAGTTCATTAGCATGTTGGCTATTAGACTCTAATAAAGATGGGTGTGAAAAGTTGGATTTGGACCTAGAGGCAGTCTTAGAGACATAACCTTTTTTTTCTCCTTTTGTGAAAGTGACAGGTATTTCTGGTCTGAGTCCATAAATCAGCTATATTTAAATGGAAAACAATACCCCACTGGGATGATAATCACCCTTTTGATTAGAAAGGTTAGAATCCAGATTATCCAACAGAATGGAACTTATCAACTTAATTAAGATTCCTCAACAGTAGATTTTTGGGTCAGTGGAACCCCTGTGTAAAGTGTTGTGCTACTGCCATGCCTAGAATCCTGTATCTAATAGCTGAAAAACATGTAGAGCACTTACATTTTCATTAGTACTGTATCTCCTTGAATGTAAGCCATCTGAAGGGCAATTCTACTTAGGATGGAAATTTTGTTCCTGGGAAAGGGGAACAATTAAAAACGGATGTGGAGTAGTTACATTTAGCTGTTTGCCCTTCCTAGCAATGAATTTTTTTTTTTTTTTTTGAGACAGAGTCTCGCTGTGTTGCCCAGGCTAGAGTGGAGTGATGTTCATAGCTTACTGCAGCCTTGACGGCCTGGGTGCACAAGTGATCCTCCTGCCTCAGCCTCCTGAGTAGCTGGGACTACAGGTACATGCCACCTTGCCTGGCTAACTTAAAACAAGTTTTTGTAGAAACAGCATCTGGCTATGATGCACAGGCTTTTTTAATGAACTTAAATTTTTCAAATGTCTAGCTTTGGACAGTGGGGTGGCAAATTTTTTTCCAAAGGTTAAGACAATCTGGAGAAATAAAGGGTTGTTTTATGTTCCTTGGGATAGGAACACCTTATTTGAACAATTACTAAAATGAGCTTAGAAAATAATATTAGGTTGAGCCAGATGAAATTTCTGTTTTTGCAGGTCAAAACAGTTGTATATCAGCAAGTTTCATGTAGTTCACTTTAATAAATTTCCCAGTGACAGTTCTGTTTTCTGGCACAGTGGAAAGTGTTGGTCTTGTATTTCCTTCCAGGTTTAACTTTTTCCAGTGCTTGCTTTTGATTTGCTTTGTATGCCCTGTGGCTACATTGTGCTCAAGGGCTAGAGATATCATCACTCCAAGAGTATATTACAGTTACCTTCAGAAATAGTAGACTTGAATTTGAAATAAGAAAAATCATGTTAGCTATAAATGTTTTTAAATTGTCCGTGTGTACTGTAACCCAGCCAAAATTTCAGCCTATTAACTTAGTGTTTTTGAGATCTAATGCCACTTAATAGGGGTGAGCTGTAGTCTAAGAGCACAGGCAACTTTTCTTGGACTTGAGAGTCATCTGTGAAACAGGATACCATCTTACCTAGAAAATTGGATAGGAGGAAAATGACTACATAAGACTGACAGTGTGTTTGCAGAAAATATAAAGTGCCCTAAGCTACTGTAAGAAGCCCATTCAATCCATTTAATGTTTTAAAATATGGCTTCACTGGGATTTTTTTTTTTTTTTTTTGAGATAGAGTTTTGCTCTTTTGTCCAGGATGGAGTGAAATGGTGCAGTCTTGGCTCCCTGCAACCTCTGCCCCTGGGTTCAAGCGATTCTCCTGCTTCAGCTTCCCGAGTACCTGGGCGTATAGGTGACTGCCACCTCCAGCTAATTTTTGTATTTATAGTAGAGATGGGGTTTTGCCATGTTGGCCAGGCTGGTCTTGAACTCCTGACCTCGGGTGATCCACCCACCTCAGCCTGCCGAAGCACTGGGATTACAGACCATGCCTGGCCAGGAGTTGTGTTTGTATTGTTAATTTTAGAAGTAGTGTTTTATATCAGCCATTTAAAAGGAGAAGGTTGGAACAGAAAGTGAGAGAGTGAAAGAGAGAAAGTGGTAGATTTGAGAAAGACAGAGCAAGGTAATAACGTTGCATAAAAATGTGATGTCCCTTCTCTTCAACCCTCTACCCCCTAGCCTGTATGATTCTTAATTAATAAGGTGTTTTATTTGCAATGTTGAAATATCCCTATTTCCTTCAGGGTTTTACAGAAAACTTTGAACTTATTTATGACCTGTTAACTTAAAAAAAAAAATCCAAGTGCTCAGAGTACTCCCATACTTCAGTCTAATCAGGTCTTTTAAAAGATAACAGAAGTGAGCTATTTATAAATATACTTATGAAGTGCTGATTTAAAATCTTAATAAGTTTATGGTGCCATCATATGGCAACTTTGCATAGAGGTTACTGACCTTAGCAAATTGTTAAAACAGTTACCAGTTTTGAGAGAGATACCTGTGGTTGGTTGGGGTAATTGTTTATGCACTGATGACATTTTATTAATTGAAATTCTGGGAGGGGGAAATTAAAAAAAAATCTGTTCTACATTTAATTTTTCTCTTTTTTCTTGATTACTGAAAAAAGGAGATGGGGAATGATTTTGACATTTTTGACCTGCTTAGATCCAAGAAAAGTTTGATTTATGGCTGGCTTTTGGAAGGCAGGAACCAGTAATTCTAATCTTACCTGATTTGACCGAATGACCTTGAGCAAGTCACTTGATTTCTTTGATCTGATACTTTCAAAAAATACCCAAAACTCTTTGAAAAACCAGAACTGTATTGTTGTCAAATTTATAGTGAATTTTTAAGAAATCATGCCTCAATAAAGTTAGTGAGATGCTTTTGTATACAGAAAGTTGAGAATTCATTTACGTTCTGTACCATCATTGGTCCTAAGATTTTATTTTATTTTTATTATTTGAGAATGAGTTATGCCCTTGTGGCCCAGGCTGGAGTGCAATGGTGCAGCCTGGCCTCACTGTAACCTCCACCTGCCGGGTTCAAGTGATCCTCCTGCCTCAGCCTCCCAAGTAGTTGGGATTACTGGTGCCTGCCACCATGCCTGGCTAATTTTTTTGTATTTTTAGTAGAGACGGGGTTTCACCATGGTTCGGCCAGGTAGGCTGGTCTCGAACACCCGACTTCAGGTGATCTGCCCATCTTGGCCTCCTAAATTACTGGGATTATAGGTGTGAGCCACCATGCCTGGCTGGTCCTAAGATTTTAGA